CAGTTGTTTCCTGTTGATATATATATATATATATATATATATATTATTTTTTTTTTTTACATCTAATCAAAACATGCTCAACCGTTTCCATTTCCTGACATGCTGTACATAAACCAGAATTATGTTTGCCGATTATATGAAGTGTTGCATTAAGATTAGTATGGTCCATTCTTAATCTAGTATATATACAATAAAGTCATTCCTATTTATATAATGATTCATTTTACCTTGTTTTATGTTACTTTGTATTCTATAAAAATGTCTTCCTTTTTTATGAGTTCCAGTAGTTCTGCCATTTACTCCTACAAACTTAATCACAGACTTTCCTTCTGCCCTGCTTAAAGTGACTGCTACGCTAATATTATCCATTTGAATTGCTTCTTTAGCCATTTTGTCTGCTGTTTCATTATCCCTACATGCGCTGGTACCCATAAAAATTGCACTACCCATTTGACTTATTCTATATAAAATGATCAATATCTCTATCAGTGTATCTTTCCTACATGACTGTAACGTTTTCAAGCTTGAAAGTGATGCCATTGAATCTGAACAAATTGCGTTCCCTTCCCTTCTTCTTCTTCTTGTTTATTCGCGAATCATTCTTTTGATTTACAAAAAAAAAAAAACAGTCCTCATTCTTGTAGACCAGTCAAATTAATAGAAAAAAATCTCACGACCTCTTACTGCTGCCAATTTAAATAATCAAAATGTATATATTTTGTTTTTAAGAAAAACAATCCTTGTATAATGTAATTGCACAACATAATTATACTAATAAAATAAAATATATAAAAAAAATTACCATTATTACAAAAAATAAATAAATTGTAATATTAATAAAAACTGATTGAGAGCAATCATGGTCATTTAATCCGAACGATATGAACTCTGTACACAATGTTATGTTTCTTTCACTTCATAATGGAGACCAAGATAATACACATTAGATTAGTCTATTTAATGTTTGATTATCATTTAACGCACAAGCCAGATGAAATAAATAGTGATTTCTGACAAGCTTCATCGCCGTTCTTTCTGAATAGAGCACTAAATGTGAACAGACTACATTGTTTCATCAACATTCGTGAGGACTAATATAATAATTATGTTGCATATGAAAGACTTTTATGTCATTGCCCGCCCGCTTTAGACCGGAACTTCCGGTTCAGATCTCTGTTTGATTTCTGGCGGTTTGTTTTGAACGTCTAAAACGCGAATGATATGATGACCATTTGTATTCATTTTTAACGTAGAACCCTTTCGTCCGTACGATGGACGCACAAGCCACATCTGTTCTTAATCGGATAATCCGGAGAATACCGAACAAAAATATAGAAAATCTTTTGAAGAAATGGAACAGTTTATCAGCAGATCAGCTGCGTGCCCTGGATTACACACGACCCAAATGGATGATAGTGGAACATGTCCTCAGTTTCTGTGAGGTGAGGTCAAATCCATTAAATGGCATACTACCGTTCATTTACCGTCGTTTTCATCTGATTTCCATACTGCTTGAGTCTGTTTTTAAATAACGATTTAAAACTATACTTTCAAATGAATGTATGTGTTCGGTGAATGCATATGACCTAATCCAAACCCAGTAACGTTAGACAGATTTCATGAAATCTTTAGCTTATGTTTTAACAGGGGGAAAAAAGGCAAGAAATAGGATTGTTATCTTCTATATTATCTGCAAAGCGATGTTTTGAAACATGTTGCGAATTTATGATTTAAAAAAAAAATAGTGAAGCAACACATTTGGAGTTGTTATTATTATTCAATTGGTTCTGGGACCCTTATCAGAACAGGCAGCGAGTTTTAGATATAGGAGTAAACGTTAACTAAAATAGGGCTGGGCAAAAAAAAAAAAAAATCGATTTTTCGATTAATTGTTCTTTTAAATGACGTCGATTCGATATCGATTCTCAAAAGCCCCGAATCGATCTTTTCCGGGATTTATTTCAGCACACATTTAAAACAAGATCTGATTAACGTGAATCTTATCATTAGTCTTCTCCACTAACGTTAGATGTCATCCTTATTTACCTTGCGCGATGTTACAACAGAAAGCCTGTCATTCATTCAGCGCTTATAATGGCCATACGCGTGATTCACAATGCTCAGGTGAAATGCTATAGTAATACTATAAATCTGCGGAAGCATTTGATATCACGCATAAGGCGCCATGATTTCCGCAATGAATGAATGGCGGACGGTGCGGTGCACTGTTTTGTTTACTACACACATACTAAAGCATTGCGGTGTTTTCAGCTTCTGCCGTCTCACTATATGATGATATGAACACGAATGTCATCTCCAGCTGCTCTGAGAATCACTTCATTAGCATTTACCGTTTCATTTGAGAAAACTACCGTCATATCACATACACAGCAGCTGCAGGTTCTTCACGGCAACCCGTCAAAAATAAAAGTTTAGTTTAACGTTCTACTGTCAGAATATATTACTATTTAGCAGTCTTAAGAG